ACCATAGTCCTTTACAATAAACCCAAAAAGCATTTCTCAAGTCAAGTCTTTTGTTTCATTTTTTGTATTAAATGTTTTCTTACAAAACGAAATGATAATTTGTGCAAAAGGGAAACTCAGGCAGAAATGTAAACTCGAACAGGGTCACAATTGAATAGCAAGTCTAGTCGAGTCTTGTAATGCAATGAAGTCTTTTACTTCTGACTTTACCATCAAATGTGTAAGCTCTTAAGAAGACAGTCCAGGCTTACTTTTACTCGAGATCACAGGTCTTGGTTTAAGTCGATGTCTGCCTATCTTATGAGGAAAGTCTGACTTCTCTTTTATGCTAGAATAAGTCATTTTAAGTTGAATTGAGTTTGCTTATTCAATCAATTTTTATTTGCTCTTTCGATTTTACTCGATATACAAATCGAAAACGCAAAGCGAAGAAAATAGAAAAGCATAGAAAATCGAAAATTTCAATTGATTATTTTTGCACGAATCAAGAAACTCTATCAAGTATTACGATTTAAACATTAATGAGTTTCTCTCAGTGACTTTCCATTAATTTTTATTCAGAAAAATTGCAATTTCTGTTTTACAAAATCGATAGTAAAGTCGTTCAAGTTTCCAATTAAAACTGCATGAGGCTGTATTCAGTTGAAAAGTAAATTTGAATAATTGTTGATCCTTTGTAATTTAATCGCATTGAAAACTGCAAACTTTGTGATTTGGGTTAATGTACCAAAACTTGCAGATTAATATGATAATAAGCTGAATAATAGTCGTAAAAATGAAAAACTGAAAAGAAGTGAGAAAAAAGTAAGAACAAGAAAATCTCGTAAAAAAAGGAATGAAAAATATTTTCTGTAAATAAAAGAAAAGATGAAACTTGCTTTACCCTGAAGAGTAACCATAACAACCAATATTTCATTGATTCACTACCAGCATGAGTTTTATCATTATTTGTCATCCAAACTCATAATGTTTATTATAATTTTACGCAACTTTTTTTTATGTATTCACATCATAATTTTAATGTCACTTGCAACGAGTTTTTATCCTTTTCTCTTCCCTTCTTTTCATTATCATCATCATTTTATTCATCGGCTTATTAACCTTCATTCTTGTTCATGAGGCATCCTCATCTTCGGCTCATCAAATGTTCACCTCTTTTGTGTCTAAACCTATTATCTGGTTTATTAAACACAATCAAAGTCTATCCAAAATTGAAATATTATTTACAATTCAATCTCTTTTCACACGAACTCCAAGCAAAAAAGAAACTCTTTTTTGTCGAACATTCAACTGCGCTTTTCAAGTCGACTTTTGACTGTTCATTTTACTCCTCAGCTTGAGTAAGACATTTGACTTTTCGAAGTCTTTTAGTCCATCATTTTGCAATGGAAAAGGTAAAAAAATGAATTTCTGGTTGGTAAAGAGTTTGCCTTTTTCGTTGTCTTCATTTCAATGTCAACTTTCTTGATGAAGTAAACTTTGAACAAAACTTTTTTCCTCACATTTTTTGCATTCTTTTTCAGTGGAAAATTTGGTTCGAAGTGAAGGATTTGAATCTTGAATTTACTTCATTTTAATATCTATTTTATTTATTCTTGATTGACAGGCAACTATGGAAGTAGTTTGATGGAGGTTTTTAAAAATTTAGCTCAAGACGTTGGCATTTGCCTGGCAAATACTGAAGTTGTCACCAATAATGCTGAGGATTGGAAGTTTGATGAAATTGTGATATCCATTCTGCAAACAAAGTCTGTCAAAGTTGTCGCCTGTTTTTGTGAAGGAATGACAGTTCGAGGTATACTTAAAGCAATACGTCGATTGAATGCAACCGGAGAGTTTCTCCTTGTTGGAAGGTAAGTCATCTTTGACTTTCTTTACCTGAAAAGGCACAGATTACACAATGCATAATAAATTCGTTTCAACATGGAACAGAAGAAAGCAATTGAATTTCTTTTTGCACCTTTTCAAGTTCTTTTGGGGAAATCTGTGCAAAATAATTGGCAATGTTCAAGATGAATGATTAATGCCAGAGAAGGTTATAAATGAAAATGAAGTCTTAAATGAGATAATTTAATGCGCTTTCTTGTTCTGTCCAAAATCAGGCAATCTTGTTGATCGTAAAAAATTAATTCCAAACTTGTGTTGTAAGAGCATGGAATTTGATTGAAATCATTTTCCTTTCTTATTCTTGCAAAATCTGTGCTTCATGAAGTCAATAAATAGGTGATGAGCCCATTTAAGCCTAAACAAGGAAGGGTCCCAAGGTTATACCAAAATTTCAATTTCAATTTTTTCTTGGGTTAAGCCCATTGGAAGCCATGAGGATCTATTAAGAAGTGATAAAAAAGCGACTTTACCATTTTATGTTGGATCCACATTACTCGCATTAAGCACATTAACCTGCGAAAAACAAGTTCAACATCCTGTAACTTTGCAATCAATACATTTGCGAAACGAAAGCCTAACAAAAGTTCATGTCTGACCCATTGAAGTATTTCTAGTCCAAAGAAGATCGAAATTTTAGTATCACTTGGGGACTCTTTCTTGTGTGTTACTTTATATGAAACTTTCTCATCATTAAAACTTATCATTACATTGCATAAGCTAAACAGAACTGTAGCTAAATGAAGATTGAATCAAAAACTCGATAAAAGTCGTAACGAGTAAAACACCAGATTTTAAGAATAACTAACTTTAAAAAGTTTATCAAATTCGATTTGAGATTGTTCTTTTTAAGCTAAATCTGACTTTAAGCATATAAAGCTAGATCTAAGGTTTTGAGGTTCGTAGAGCTCGTGCAGACTTGCTGTCAAGGGTATTTAGAGCAATGCGAGGCTATTTCAAACTAGACACTAATACTTTACTAGTTTATTTGCAAGAGAAAAGTGGGTTTTCGAATCCTTTGCATAGCTGGACATTTGATTAAACTTTCGCTTTTCTTTAACTTATTGAAATCCTTCCAAATTCAAATTGAATCCCAAATTGATTTCATCTTCTGGATGCTAATAGAAATTTTGTTCATCAAAAGGAAGACAATCTTTATAAATCTTTAATTTATACAAAAATCAGAAACGGTCTTTGGATAAATTTTTAATGATAGTTTCTTAGAACATGATTAAAGTTTAATCAAAAGACAGAAACAAGACTGTGCTGATTTATCATGCCATTCTCACTGTTTACTCGAGCCATATTCCAATGAATATTGAAAAGCATTCTCAAGAATCTCTTTACTGATGCTGATAAATTTATAACTTGTAAAATAACAACTCAACAACTGCCTATCAAAATTTAACCTCATGCATAGAGGCCAGTAAATTTTAAATTAAACCAAATTGATTTCTTAGAAAAATATAACCATCGATTTTCAGACATTTCCGAGTTTCTCGAAATGCAGCAAATGCAACTCGACTGCATTTTTATTCAATACAAGCATTTAGGCCAAACTCTGCAATTGAAAAAGCATCAGTCTGAAAAGAATCTCCAGAAATATTAAAACTCAAGGAATGAATAAACTTGTAAAATTTACATTTAAAGCCATCAACTAGGAAACTACAAAAATGGTGAAGATTCAAAGAATATAAGATTCTTTAAGAGAATATTAGAGTCAGAATTTAACCTTTCAGGTCAACTTGGAATGCAATAATCCCATTTCACGAAATATCCAATTACGAGAAATCTTCGAATCCATAATGAGACCAAGTCGAAATTGGAAAAGTTTTTCTCTTCGCATTTGATTTGCAAAGTTTTGTACAAAAATTCAATAAATTTGCTCATCAAGAATGAAAGAAGAATGAAAATTTGCATAATAAGCTGCAATAGGAAAATGTAATGATATTAATGAAGAGCAAAAGGAAATTCAGGGAAAAATTTTGTTGAAAATTATTCCTTCTAAACATGAGAACTATTGAAAATTGAGAATTGGAAGAACAAGAAAGAAGTGCTACTTTATAATGGTTATATAATGATAAGGGTAAAACAATAATTGGGATAATTAGATTTTCCAGTTTTGTATAATTCTCATAACTTTTCTTTACTCTTTTGTTGCTAGTTAATTATTGCACATGAAAAAGGGTGAAAAGATATAAATTTCATTTGTTCAGTTGCAATTAATGTTATAATGTACATTCACTTGGTTAACAACTCATCGAATGTGCAAATTGATAGAAGCAGAAAAGACGAAACTCAACTCTGATTATTTTGATAAACATAATTACGCACACTTTTTCGATCTTTTTTTTTTGTTCAAAAAGTGAAATTGCATTTGAACAGAACTTGAAAAATGTTTATTAACTTTTCCTTTTATTCTTGTTGTTCTTTAGCGACGGTTGGTCTGATCGTTATGATGTTGTTGAAGGGTATGAGGTTGAAGCTTCTGGTGGAATCTCTGTTCGAATTCATTCACCTTATGTTAATGAGTTTGACCCATATTACTTCAACCTTCATCCTGATAATAATACTCGAAATCCTTGGTTCAAAGAATTTTGGGAATTCAAGTTCAACTGTTCTTTGACACCGAAAGTAGTAAAAGACCAAGCACAAGCCAAAACACCTTTACTACCGAATCAGGCTCCTTTTCCAGGAACTCGATTATTTAATAGATCATGTTCAGGTAATTATCAAACTAAAAATCAACTTTCAGTTGAATAACAATTGTAATCGAGTCAACTGAAAGTTCAAGAACA